CAATGGATAAACTTTTATCCAAACAAATTAAATGTAATTGTGTCAGTTTTCTGCATCTATTTCCCTTTCTACATACATCCCTGCCAGCATAATATTATATACATTATATATTGAAACATATACAAGGTGTGGCTGAAAGACAATTTACATTTGATTATTCCTGTTTCATTAAATTAATATTCATTAATTTTATATAAGCATGAATAAGTTTAAATAAAGGGTCTTTTTTTCCTCTTGCAATTTACCGAAAGGTTATGTTTTCAACAAAAATACTGACTCTCAGCTCTATCCCTGTGCATTGTTAATTCAGCAAAATCCATTATCTAAATAGTTTATAAATATTCCATCTGGAGAAATACAATTATCATAGCAATACGGGAATAATATTACTATACTTCTAGTTATTGTCAATTCTTTAATATCTTCAAAAATTAAGGAGATTAAACAAACACTAATTTTAACTTACTAATATGTTACTCATTATACAAATGATTACTCCTGCCTTTCATTCAATGAAAAATTATTGACCATTACTTTCCAATAAAGATTTTAATTTGATTTGTAAAAAAAAAAAAAAAAATAACTTCTAGGTTATCAGATGATTTTCTTGATCCTTATATTTTAGAATTTTCACTTTCCCAGTTAAAAAAAGACACAGAAAAATTTAATGAAATCTGCCAAATTGATAAAGACAGTCATTAAGGAAAGAACAAAATTAAACTGCTCTATTAGCAATGAAAGTAGGTCAGTAAATATGAGAGGCAGTGTTTAGATTCAATGAAAAGTTTCTAAACATTTTGAGTATTTACTTGTCTTTTTAAAATAATGCATACAACACACAACAGCATTGGCTTGACAACATATTTTTAGTGGCATAGTATGTAGTGAAGCATTTCACATCAATTTCTCAGTATTACTAAACTGCAAAACAGGTTGCTAAACGTTACTGTTATAAGTTCAAAATGATTAAGAGGCAAAGTTGTAAGTGTTGCTTTAAAGCAATCAATTATTTAGAGAACTTTGTCTTAAGAGTCAGTGATTGTATTCACAAATCATTAGGAATAGATCACAAAAGGTATACACGAAAAAAGCAATGTATCTATCAAATACACAATCTTATAGGAAACATTGGTGTCCTCAATGTTACATGTGCACTTTAGTCCATTGAAAAAGGATGAATGCCCATTAGGAAGAAAATAAATAACCCAACATCAGGAAATGCCATTTGCTGCATATGGACATTATTTCTCTAATTTTCTATTCAGTTATTTACTATACCTACCCAAGAGCTTTTCACTATTCATCAAGTACATTCCCGTATTCGTATATAAACCCTTAAACAAAGAGAATCCAATCTAAGCTTATTGTAATTCCTGCAAATATTACTTATGTTAATGTGGCATATGCTGCTCATTAGAACCTGTACCATAGAGCAAACCATCGCCTGGCGGGATACACATCACTTCAATAAGGCTATTGCAATATAAACACACACACACACACACACACACACACACACACACACACCCCATCAGCTTCAACAAACTCTGATTTCCCTTTAGTCCATTCATAAATGCCATGATCCTAAGTAGAAACAACCTGTCATTACCTTTGAACATACTAAAGAATCTAGCGAGGAGGGTTGGGTTTTCTTTTAAACTTCTCAGAGTACTACATGGTCATAATTAGAAAATAAAATACTGCCACGGCTATTTGGCAATTAGCATCGTGGGTTGTAAAACTGGAGGATATTTCTTTCTTTCTGCTTAAAATTAGCCAACAAGGTAATTGCTTGAATTGGTATCAGATTAAAAACACATTTTAGGTTTAGGCAATCCAAAATTCTCTCTTAAAGTCTTTTAGAAGACACCGGAAAATAAAAGCACATCTTTAGTTTACTCTCAGAGCAAACTGCTTTATTCTGAGGCACCTTAACGACCTAAAAAGGTTTCAGGGAGAACGTGCTTTGAAGAGCGTTAGCTCTGCGGGGCAGGGCAGTTTGCTCTACCTGGCTTACCTTCATTGGAAGGTTGGAGAATCAGTTCCCCAAAGCAATGGAGAGCGGAGCAGCTGAGAAGGAGGAGGATGGAGAGGTGACAATCCATGTTGCTGGTGCAGAGGGCAGTGAGAGGAGCATATCTCCATGAAGCATGCCACTGATGTGAGGGGGAGCGCTCTGATTGCTGGAGAAGTTACCATGCTCCGCTCGCAGGCTGATGTCAAGTTTGACACTGGAGATAAGGAGGAGTCTGGCTGCCTTTCCTCGAACCTCGCTCAGGGACTTCCCTGGGTCCTAGTGCCGTCGGAAGTGAGCGCTGTAGGGGAAGGAACAGCCCGCCGAGGCTCGCAAACTGCTCTGAAGCACAGAACTGGGGAGCTAGGGGTGGGGCTGGGGGGCGCCGCCAATAGACAGGAAATCCAGAAGTTGTGATGGGGCAGTGGCAGAAAGCAGTGGAAGGGAGGGAAAAACACCCGCTCCTTATGTTCATTGAAAAGCAGCTATTTTATTGTTTGCTATACATGCTCTGTAGGTTAATTCCCCGAAGAAACCAGAAACCCTGATAGGAATGTCATATGGCAGTGTGAGCGAAAAAGAAACTGAAATGTCAGAAGATGTTTGTAGTAAAAGAGCAGGAGCCTTTCATTTAAAAAAAAAAATTAAAGATGATTGTGTAATTCAAAGGAAAATTGGGATTATTCCTTTACTATGTTCAATGTAATCATAACTCTTATGAGTCCTTTGTGGTCCAGAAAGACACTTAGACACACCTCAGATCAGAAAGTCTTTTCAGTTCTACACCAAATGGTATCAGGGCTTTCAATAGATTTGGCACAGGGACTTCAGTGTACATTTGTTGTACTTTAGTTTTCCAAACTGGGGCGTAACCTTCACCATGCTAAGGAAGTGAGCAGACCCAGCCCTAGGAGTGGCTGCTGGGCAGCATTTATTCTTTCTGTGCTGTGGGTGTAAATAAGAGTAATACAAATCAAATCTGAAGTCCTTGGCAACACATCACCACCACCCCCCCCCCTCACCATCTATGTTAGGATCTCTGGGATCTGTGAGATAAACATGGCATATTTCACAGTCCCCCATTCAGCTTTTCAGCCCCTTGCAATCTGATAATAGCTGGATGTTCTTTTACATTCCAACTCCAATGGCTAAATCATAGTGTCCTTGCACTTGCTCACTTCACACCACGCTTGCCCATGTTGGGCAATACAATCGCAACCGACTTCAGCTGAATAATTTTGTGATTTATATTTGGAGAGCTCTCTCCACTTATCTTTAAAACATCCCCCGGAAAACGATTACTCAAATATCCTCCTCCTCATCTGTCTTTTGCTACTCCAAACAGAACCCGAGACTTCCGTTCTTTGCACAACTCCAGAAAGTAAAGATAGGTGGACAATTTTAAGATCAGTGATGAATTTTAGAGCCCTAGGTTGGGGAATCTAAATCTAAATAAGGGTTTGAAAAGACCTCACCAAAACATAGGCCTTCCACAAACGCTATGTTTTTGATGAGGGAACCCCATTTTCACATGAATTGAAATTCAGGGCCTCTGAAGAGAGCTTGTTGGCTGGGATGGGGGGTTGGGAGGTGGGTAGAGGAAGTGACTGGGAGAGTGGCCCTGCTTGCTTTCTATGTATGCCTTGTTACTTTGTATCTCTAACTTCTTCCCACGTTATGTCACCGGAGGCTGTGGAACCCTCTTCAAGTGCCAAGTCTGTCAGAATTGAAAATACTGACAGATATTGAACAGAGGGCTCAGATAATGGTGACTCTGGCATTTTTTTTAAAGTTGCAGCACAACTCGAGTCTTTCCATAAGGCACTGTTCTATTGTTCTAGGGCTAGATAAAATTTTCCTGAAACTTGAAAGAAAATAAAGTGTTATTTGGAATGACGACTTATAAATATTTTAGAAAAATACGCCCATGTGCTGATAGCCACATACATTGGCTTCCCCTCACACTGCTTCTCTCTTCACAATTAACTACTGTCACTGTGGAAAGAGGCCTTCATGTTTGAGGGAAGCTACGATAGTGTGAAAATACGTAAAAAGCAATTATAATGTAATTTCAGGAATATAATATAAACAATGTAAGATCTCTCAATTATAGACTCTCTAAGTCAAGAGACATCAAAGAGTTTCCACAGTCTTTGGCATTCTGGATAGATGTATAAAAGAGTGACATCAGCAAACAGAGGGAACATTAAATTTGGCCAAAGATAAGAGCAAAGGCTAGAGGAGAAGGCAGCTATTTCAAGGAAGCCCGCATGGAGAAAGTAATATTTGAGGTAGATCTTGTAGGATGATTAGGAGCTCAGTAATTGGAACAGTGGATCAGAAGGCAGTGCAGACAGGCAGGTATAACATAAACAAACAATAATAGTTTCCAACTAAGGGCAAGAGAACGCAGCTGGCACATAGAGAACATAGAACATGCATAGAACATAGAGAATGTACGATACAAAAAGGGTTAGGATACAAGGAAGTAAAGGGTGGGGACAGAGTGCTGGGAGATGGTCTCCAAAAGGCAGACTGGAAACTGTAGAAACTCCTATGCCACATGTCAGTGATTTTACAGTGTATTCTAGACAAAGGAGAGACACCAAAAGTATTTCAGCAAGTAATAACTTATCCTATCTGGGTTTCAGGAAGAAATGCTCTTGATAGCACAGAGCAGAGTGTCTCCACCTGTGGTATATGGACCACCTACTATGGAAGTATCTGTAATGCTTTTTAAAACTGCATAACCCAGGGTGTCTGGGTGGCTCAGTCGGTTAAGCATCCAATTTCGGCTCAGGTCACCGTCTCCCGGTGCGTGAGTTTGAGCCCCTTGTTGGGCTCTGTGTTGACAGCTCAGAGCTTCGATTCTGTGCTTCCCTCTTTCTTTGCCCCTCCTCTGCTCTCTCTCTCTCTCAAAAATAAATAAACATTAAAAAAATTTTAAATAATAAAAAGTGCATATCCCTTCTGCCCACCACAGACTTACTGAACTGAACCTCTGAGGTTGGGACCCACGAACTGCAACTTGACAAGCTCTTCAGTTGATCCTTGTGGTGATCCTGACATTTGAGAACCACTGCTGAACGTGAAAGAGGGAAAATCAGAGTCCAAATGGTGAGATCTGAGGCAATTTTAGAATAAAACTAGGGGTACCTGGGTGGCTCAGTTGGTTGAGCCTCTGACTTTGGCTCAGGTCATGATCAGGTCATGATCAGTTTGTGAGTTAAAGCCCCACATCGGGCTCTCTGCTCTCAGCACAGAGCCTGCTTTGGATTTTCTCTCTCTCTCTCTCTCTCTCTCTCTCTCTCTCTCTCTCTCTCTCCCTTAGAAACAAATAAACATTTAAAAACATAATAATAAAAGTAAAACTAAAGTAACATGGAACTGAAGTACAATCTAACAAAAAGAACGAAAATACAAGATGAAATTAAGATACATGTCTGAGGTAAAACAAACACTATTCCCCAAGGAAAAGCTGAATTTCGGGTTTGAGGAAGAGGGAGATGACAGATATCTGAAATATTTAGTTCACCTGAATACTGAAACTAGTATTTCAGTTCAACAGAATGTGAATGCCGACCACGTACCTGATTGTGTGTTAGACACTGAGGGTAAAAACATGAAAAAGACCTTGTCCCTGCCCTTTAAATAATTTAGAATCACATGATAGCAAGTGTTACATACAAGTAGAATATTTTCACAGTGCAGGGGAGAAGAGTCCTGAGAAGATGAGAAGAGAGAATAAGCGTAAAAAGCATGCTTTGGGGAGGAAATGACACATACCTCTAATACTGGAGCATAGATTTTGAGGTGGGGTGAGGGGATATGAAGAGAGGAGACAGGAAGAATAGGAAAGCGTAAGGTTATAAAGAATTTTGTGAACTCTTCTAAGGAGCTTGGACTTGAAGGTGATGTAGAGACGTATTCATTTTGCATTTTAAGAAGATCATTTTGACATACTTAAATCCGGAGAGTAGAATGGAAGCGAAAACACCAGTTAGGAGCCAAGAGACCAATTAGGATCCCTCTGCAACAGCATAGCCAATATCATGTGGAGATAGCAGTGGGGCTCTTGAATCAGACTAACCCTAACAGGGCCCTTGCTCTGTCACCCTTAGTAAAACTCTAATAATAACAGATCCTATTTGATAGGGATGTTGTAAGGATTAGATAAGCTTTAGGATGGTACAGAGAAAGTCTAAGCCTAGTGCCTGACATATTAAAAGCATTCCATACATTTTTTATCTATATCTAGCAGAGAGATCTAGAAGGTCTGATCCTGAGCAGGCACACAAATATAAGTAGGGGAAATTGGCATAACTTCATAATTATTGATTATGAGAAATGAAGTGGATACAAGCATCTGGGAGGCCTCTCAATCTGTGGCTTGAGTGAAGAGGCAGTCAGCAATACAAAATCAAAGAAGATTGGCGTGGGTACAACAATTTGTATTTTGGGTGTATTTTACATCAAGTGGCTCGCAGGAAAACCAGGAATAGATGAAAAATTAGGAGACAAAGACCTTCACTGGTGCTGTTCCTTTGGGAATAATTTCATTTACAAATAATAACTATTTAAAAAAAAGTAAGTAGGTTCCTCCATATAAGCAAAGTGTTGACAGAAGGATCAGTTGGCCAAGGATGAAACCCTAGCATATACCAATATTTAAAAGACAGGCAGAAATAGAGCAGAACAAAGAACCGGAAGAGATTAGCATATTATTAAAACTTTTTAAGAGTTTCACAAAGAATTCATGGTCAACAGTGCCTGCAAGGAACATATTCAATAAGATACTGACTGAAGAATAACAGTTGGATTTGACAGCTGAAGGTTTTGATGACTTGGATGGTAGCAGTTCTAGAGGAGTAATGAGTCTGCTGCACATAGATTGAGCTAAAGGAGTACATGGAAAGAGAGGAAGTAGAAATAGTAAATGTACTACTCTTTCAAGAAAGTAAACTTAGAGGAGAAGGCATGCCTAAATGAGGAAAAAGCAAAGGGTAATGAGAATATTAAAAAATGAGACGGGCTTGGGGCGCCTGGGTGGCTCAGGGCAGCTCAGTTAAGGGTTCCACATTGTTTTTTTAATTTTTACTTATGTTTGAGACAGATAGAGACAGAGCATGAACAGGGGAGGGGAAGAGAGAGAGGGAGACACAGAATCCGAAGCAGGCTTCAGGCTCTGAGCTGTCAGCACAGAGCCAGACGCTGGGCTTGAACTCACAAACTGAGAGATCGTGACCTGGGCCGAAATCCCACACTCAACCGACTGAGCCACCCAAGCACCCCAAGGGTCCCACTCTTGATTTCAGCTCAGGTCATGATCTCACGGTTTGTGAGTTCCAGCCCCACATCCCTTGGGCTCTGTGCTGACAACGCGGAGCCTGCCTGAGACTATCTTTCTCCTTCTCTCCGCCCTTCCCTCGCTCACACTCTTTCTCCTTCTCTCAAATTCAATAAATAAACATTTTTTTTAAATGTTAAAAAATGCAAGAGGATTGTAAGATATCTCTCTTATGTGCTTAGTTGACGAGTGATACAATTATTGATGAGGAATTTCGTGGCTCAAATTGGGGATATGGAGTAAAGGTGAGAAAATAACATCCTGTGTTTAGGACATGGCAAGATGCAAAGGTAGATATTCAAGCCAGGAGTAAGATAGAAAATAAGAAGCCCAGAAGGGAGGGGAGGTTAGACACTGTAAGTTAAACAATGATTAGTGAATTGGTAGTAGCTTAATCCACTGGAATAGATGAAATTGTCCAGAAAGGTCATAAACAGCAGGGGAGAATCAATTCTGTCAAATAAAATATTCAAAAGGCAGACGGAGGGTGTATAATTATCAGAATTAATTGAGTAGGAGTAAATGTTATAAAAGAAAGGTAAGGAAAGAATGGGTTGGAGATGACAAGAAAAATGAAAATTTCAGGAGAGAATCAACAGCAACAACAGTAAGATTTTTTTCCCATTAATGGAAAGACCAAAGGACTGGGAATCCCTACCCAAAAAAGTTCACACTTGGAGCTGCAAAATTCTTTAGAGCTTATCATTTTACAGTTAGAGAAAGACTAAAACATTACTGACTTCATTATGTTCCTGCAGTCAAAGGCAACAATAAGGAAAGTGTCTGAGAGCCCTTGCCAGGATGCAAAGAAAACATTAGAAAAAATACTTATGAGGAACTTTATGGGAAAACTTCCATTACCTAAGTGTTTGAGGGTTATTGGAACAGAATAATCCAAGAAAACTTCACGAAGGGTTGTGATTTTTTGGGACAGTTACTAAATTTTGGACTTGAAAATAGTCGCAGTGGGCTGCACAAATCAATTTGCTGTATTTTAACCGATATCCACCGAATTAACATATCTCAAATTTAAACATAGAGGTTTATGCAATCAATATAAAAATTAGCATGCCTGAATTCATTGAAAAATGCTAATTGTAAATTAGAAGGATTTCACTCAATTGTTATAAAGCGTCAAAAGAAAAATAAAGAAAAAAGAAAAAAAGATCACATATGTGGCTTGCTAGGATTGACCAATGCTGTTTAAAACATACGCTTACACTCACTTTTATAACTACCTCTGAAACATTTCTCTACTTTAAAAAACAGACTTTAGTACTACCATTACTTCCTAGTCTTCCATTTCCCTTGCCAAAAACCAGTCAAAACAAGCCAAGAGTTCATCTTAAAATCTAAGGAAAACATCCCAAAGCTCTGAGAAAACTCTGAGCAAGAGCACAGGGGGCTTGAGGTGGTTGAGGGACAAGGGAGCATTTGGCTAAAGCAGAACCTACATCATCGTCCTTGTAAGCCCATTTGGGGACTTAACCATATATATTTACACACACTTATACATTCATAAACATATATACACTCACATTCACACGTGCACACACACGAAGGAAATGGTGTATTGATGCTCTATCCAGCCAAGTTTTCTAGAGCAGGAGGTCTCAATCTTTAACATACAGAAGACTGGGGAGCTTGTACTCTGATTTTGGAAATCAAGCACAGGACCTGAGATTATGCATTCCCTCAAGTTCCTACGCCCTGTCTTCTGCAGGTCTGACAACACTTTGTACGGCAGAGTTCTAGAATATGTAGATCTTGTTTGGAAAATTAGTATAAATATGTGTATATGTATATTTAAATATAAGCATGAACATATCAAAAAGTCAGATGGTTGGGGCGCCCGGGTGGCTCAGTCGGTTAAGCATCCGACTTCGGCTCAGGTCATGATCTCGCGGTCCGTGAGTTCGAGCCCCACGTCGGGCTCTGTGCTGACAGCTCAGAGCCTGGAGCCTGTTTCAAATTCTGTGTCTCCCTCTTTCTGACCCTCCCCCATTCATGCTCTGTCTCTCTCTGTCTCAAAAATAAATAAACGTTAAAAAAATTTTTTTTAAGTCAGATGGTAAAAATACAGGAATACGTGGCCCAATAGGTTCAACTTCATCTCCCAATAAATTTCAAGATAAACCTAATGCTCCCACAAAGTAGTTAAATAATACTCTAGTATCCTAAATCCCTCTCTTCTTGAAGGTAAGTAGTCAAGACTAATTCACCATTATTGTTAACTCTTAGTTCACTTTTATCTAGATCACGCTTGTAATCATTTTATAATATACCCATCTTCATTGTTATTGAACTGTTTCAAGGGTATGAATTGTCTGCCCAATATTTTAAGTTCTTAAATGACAAAATAAATATCAAACATTATCTAGAAGAGAGAAGACACTGTTCAACACAATAGTGTATAATAGTCTCTTTCATTTTACTTCACATATGTTGAATATGTGATAATTACAGTTTGATAATTTCTCAACATATGCATTGAGGCCAAATTTAAACTATCCGAGGGATTTGCAAAGCTTAACAAGCATAAGAAAACCATTGTAAAAATAAACCCATGACTTAATACGAAATGAATTTGTGTTTACAAGTATTAGGACATTTATCTAAAGATGAAAAAGTAATGTCCCTCATTTTTAATGGATTAATTTTAATTACAAACGAGCATTTTAATTTTCTTGATATACTGATATGTAGTTTGGTAAAACAAGTAATAGAAATATAGTTTATCGATTGAAGAGAATATTTTAATGATGTCACATATGTGTACATATGTGTGTGTGTCTGTGTGTGTGTGTGTGTGTGTGTGTGTGTGTGTAAGTTATAATTATGGCTCAGGTAAAAATGTAAGTGCAACCAGAGCATTTTTTTAACCAAAAGCAAAATTTGATAAAGGGTTATTGACTATTCTATATAGAAGTATTTTGAGAACACATGGCTTCAATTTTGTTTCTCAAGTATCTTGTAAGCCTGAACATAAAATAGAATTACTCAATACAGAAAAATTAACTGATTATGTGCTTGTCTAACCATAGTCGTCAATTCAGCTGGGAACCGGAAAAATAATCCATATTAAGTCATAGGGATCTTATATTCAACAGTGTCAAACATTTGCGATTTTTCACGGATGCTCTGGTTTCCACAAGTGCCCAAATAACCTCACCTGCTATTCCAATTTGTCTCCTCGACTGTGCTATGGGTCAGTGATCCCTATTATGTCACATCAATACAGTGGTTAAATAATGATAAATAATTTAAAATGTGACAGGTAATCCACATCTTAATGTCAGTCATCTTTACCCATGCAGTATTTCCCAAATTAAAATGGAAGCTACTTCTGTTTTAAACTCTAGGTTTTTAGATATCCAAACATATTTCTTTAAATTAAAAAATACATATTTTACATATTTATTTGAAGCTCCAAAGAACTTAATTTTAAAACTGAATCAAAGTAAAAGGGATGGCTTCTAAAACATTTAATTACAAATATACTAATGACATACGTTTTCTTCTCGAAAAATAAGAGACCCTCCTCCAGTTCTTAATTATGGCAATGAAAGTATTCAAAATATGCATGTTGTATTCTCATTATTCCAAGGGTACTCACTTAGCCATTTCTATTACTTAGTTGGGGCTTAAATATTCAAGAGTTATTTTTTGAAGCACTCATACAATCAAAGCCCCAACTAAAAACGTGAGTCTTTTTTAAATTCACCTTAGAGTACAGTAAATTTACAAGTCAAGTTCACATATAGGAAATCTGCTTGTTGTTGGTACGTCACATCGAAACACACGAAGGAGTGATAATCATCTGCCAGCACTCACTTCGCTGGATTTCATGAAAGATTTTTTAGTCAAGCCTCTGGCTTAGGAAATTGCTATAGGTCATGCACTCCACTAGAGGGCTCTGCAGAAGCAGTGGCCACCGCAGCTGAGGATTCAGGTGTTCAGATCAGCTCCTTGACAAAAAAGCAGAGGTCTTCACAGGAATTAGCACAACTTTATTTTTAGGTTTAGTTTGATTAGTTTCCTGATTGGTAGTAATTACGGAGGGTTATGGATGCTTACGTGTGAGTTTTATATGATCATATAACATGCTTTTACTTACTGTATCTGGACCCTATGATGAATTCATCATAACCCTAAAGAATCAAGAAAACAAAGTTTCACATTTAATTTCTGCTCCAGATAAATCTACTCATTTCTACACTAAAAGATGCTGAGACGAGTGACACAATTTCTTCTTCTTTTTTTAATGTTTATTTAATTTTGAGAAAGAGAGAGCGTGAGTGGAGAAGGAGCAGAGAGCGAGGGAGCCACAGAATCCAAAGCGGGCTCCAGGCTCTAAGCTGTCAGTACAGAGCCCCATGCGGGGTTCATACTTGTGAACAGTGATATCATGACCTGAGCCAGAGTAGGATGCTTAATCGACTGAGCCATCTATTATTCTTTACCATTCTCTCTTCTATGCAGTTTCCTCATTAAATTTCTCCATTAAAATGGATAATGAGAATGCATGTAAGATATACAACATATACAAATTATATGAATCCGTAAAATGTACTGAAAAAACTAAGGGAATATGATAAAAATGACAATGAAACAGGATCTCCAAAATGGATAGTCGTCTGTATGGCGCATATGGCGGACAGAAGATGGGCTCATCTGTAGTATTTATGGAAAAGGTATTGCAGAGAGCAACGACTATAGCAAACGCTGAATAATTTTGTTTTAGCACTTTAAGTATAAAGGTTTGCATCTTCAAGAACAGATCAAAATAAAAATGTATAGACCACATGTCCAAATCCTTTTTGGGCAACAATATACCTGATGTTCCTGTGGAATATGTCTAGCTCCCAACAGTAAAAGTGACTCACCCCATCATGATTCTCAAGAGAGACATGATACACTCTTTGAAGGAATGTAGAAAATTATTTATTTGTAATTTTTTGAAGTTTATTTATTTATTTTGAGAGAGAGAGAGAGAGAAGGAAAGAGTGCATGCCCCTGCACAGGTGTGATTTGGAGAGGGGAAGAGAAAGAGGGAGAGAGAGAATCCCAAGCAGGCTCCACACTGCTAGCATGGAGACCTACTCGGGGCTCAAACTCACGGACTGTGAGACCATGACCTGAACTAAAACCAAGAGTCAGAGGCTTAACTGACTGAGCCACCCGGTCACATGGGTACAGGTACAGAAAATTCTTGTGGGGATGAGCTTTTTCACTGGAGGAAAACATGCCTAACTCAGAAATATGAACTTTTCTATCTTTACTGTAAAAAACATGAATTACCTATTTTTAATACACTTCAGAGTGAAAGTTGGTACAACCTCCACAATATATAACAATGTCCTTGTTTTACAGCCTTCTAACTTAGAACTATATTCGATGGGGTGGTGGAGACCCTTCATTGATGGAATGATATGCCAAACCTAAGAAACACCATACTATATTATGACAAGCCTGATGAAGTCCAGAATACTACATTGTTCGAAATAAAATGATGTCTACGAATGCTAAGTAGCCTACAGACCACCTGTAACCAACATTTGAGCCTGCCAAAAGATGAGTTCATCCAAAACACTGTGCAATTAGCAAATAAAATATAAATTCCAGGAGAGCAAGGATTTTGGTCTGATTTGTTCACTGTTCACTCTAGAACAGTACTGGCACATTGTAGGTCTGCAATCAATATTTTTTGAATGAATGAAAATATAATTCACATTCATGCAATATACTTAAAGTTTTGTTTTTTTATTGTTCTGCTTTGTCCTTTTTGTTTGGATTCATTTTATGTCAGACTTCAACATTCTACCTAGTAACTTGTTAATTTTCCTTTTCAAATTGTTTAACATAGCCCCAGAAATGAAGGCAGAAGTTACTCACATAGCAGTAAATTAGTAAAACTTATTCTATTCTATTTGAATAAATTAATACATTTGCATTTTAATAGATAATTAGACTAGCAATCATATAATCCTACCCCATTAAAAACATAAACAACTGGATTGACTAGACAATATTAAGGGGTATTTAATTGAACCATTGAACCCAGAGACAGAGATCCAGAACAACTTTCTTGAGGCAGCCAATAAATGAACAGCAAAAACCTTTTTCTGTATATTGTTTCAATTTATATAACAATATTTATGTTAACTTTATTATCATTTGTAATAAATTGATTTTATACAAAGAATTCAAAGTATGATAGAAGCAAGATAAAACTGTCTTTTAGCAAAACAGTGCAGATATTTCAATCTATAAAATTTTTCTCTTTATTTTTAGTTTTTAAAATTTCAAATTCTCAAAATACAATGTTTTACTTTGTGGGTTTCCCCCAAAATAGGAAGAAGGGCATTCTTATAGCTTTAAATTCCCAACAAGTCAAGCCACACAGTCAGAGATCTCTAGGCCTCATGTTTGAATAAACAATAAGAAAATAACTATTAGGTATGAATATTTGAAAAGACTGCTGAAGAAATCAACGATTATTATCCAAAGTTCAAGTTTTAGACTTCCTCAAAAAAGCCATTTAGTGTCCATAAAGTTTAATTTATATTTTAAATGAATTGTGCCACATGAAGTGATCTTCATTTTACAAGGCATCACTATTTAGCAAAGAAGCAATTTTTTTTTTTTTTTATTTGCTAAGTAACTCAGTGTGGAATAGAATACTGGTTTCAAAAGAGGGCCTGATAGGCAGCTATGAGATTTAAAGTTTTTATTTGTCTTCAGGACAAGCATATTAGAGAAAAAGCTAGTGCCCCTCAAATCCCTCTATGTTGTTCTATACATCGTTCAGCTCATATTTAGTATACAGTCTTTTATTTGTTTAGTTTATTTTCCTCATCAATGTACAACTAACTGAATATCCTTAGGTAGCCACTTACATTTTTTATCAGTCTTAAGACTGTAAGGAAAAGAACCTAGAGGAAAATGTTAATGCATTATTCATGAGATTAAAAAATAAAAACACTAAACTCTTCCTTTTTGTTTGTACATTTAGTTATCCAAGAATTTAAGAATAAACAGGGTTAGCTTTGGGTGAAGAAAATCTTCCTAGTAGGGTGAAAAACAGAAGTGAGCCTGTTTAACACAGTTTCTGAGAGAGGTTATTATAGAGGGTTTTTCCAACTTGGAAAAAATGAGTATTTCCTTGGATGCTTCTTTGCTTTATGGAGCATTGAAGCCCTAGAATTAAGACAGTGAATAATGTTTCAGTATGACTTCCTACACTGAGAAATTCTTCAAAGCAATCTTAGGCCGTGGAAATCTTGAAACATATTTCAGCAGGTTATATTGCAATAGAATAAATAGAAAAATTATGAAGGGAAAAGAAAAAGGTATAGAAAATTCGTAATATCCCCTAAATCATTTTAACATCCGAAATAGGTTCTAGTACCTATTTTTGCTCAATAATACTCTAGAAAGCTGCAAGTTCTTGGAGAAATAGGGTAAATGTAATTTTAAGTGACAGAAACCATGATTCAATCTACTTGATCAAGACACCACTTTCTTATGCTGTGTGTGTGAGCACTTAATACATATTTGGAAATGCCTACATGATCTCATCTTGAGACTTTTTCAAAAGGTTTTCCTAAGAACAAATTTTTCATCTGCACTTTTTTACTGATCAATTGGCAAATCAGCTTGCATACTTGGGAAGGAAGGCTAATAATGTTGTAGAACTTTGTCTCACTGCTTGCTAATGAATGGTTTCCAGGGGAAGGCCGGACTGGGTAATTAAGCGATGATGGGCAGCAACTAGAACAAGAAGTGAAGATGAGAGTAAGTGTTCAAGCTCAGGACATACAGAAGGCATGAACTCTAACGCTAATTCGATAATAGGCCACAATTAAAGATCAATAGACATAGTTTATTTGTAATTTATATGGAGTCATTTTTTTTCTAGTGCTTAGTGATCCTGTATTTTTCTTCCATGCAAATAAACATGGCAAGTGAAGTAAAGTGAAAGTAAAATGCAATAAAATACTACAAAGGTGAAAGAATACAGACACAGGAACATCCCCCCCTTTGATGGTTATAACCACCTATTTTAGTGGCTTTAACTAAAGCTATTTTCCTAATAACAGTAATGTGATTAAGAAGAACTACATTTTTCTTCATGAGTTTTAGAATTCCAGAAATTAAGTCCTTTAAAATGTAAATTTAAAAAGCACAAACTGAAGATAAATATTAAGAAAATATGATGATTAGTTAAATATGCATATTTGCCATTTGAAATTATATTATTAATTTACATTTCTTACTGAGCTTTTGAAAACAGCTAAATTGGATCAAAAATATATAATATGAAATATATTAATTTAGAAAATTGACAGACAGTGTATCCATGGTTTGGGGAAGAGAGCCAGCATGTCAGCTACACTCCTCCAAAGATATTTCTACCAGAAAATAGACAGCTAGCATTTTCACAAGCAAAAATGTCCCCAGGAAAACTGTGTAATTGAAATACACTACTTAACAATTTCCATGAAAGGACCCATAAGTGGCAATTTCAATATTTGAGCTAAGTCTCGCTTCAACTAGAGAAAAAAATTTATAACAAAAAAATGATAGAACATGTATTATGGAATGAAATATCCAGGACCACCTACTATATAAATTCATATATGTGGTAACTATAACCACTAGCTAAAATGATTTGTCTCCTACCAATAGCAACATTTAATTTCAGACTCTTGGCTATAATCAAAAATTCACTGCAATGTCATGAATGGAGTTCATCAGCTATCACTTGTCTGCAGAGTTTCACTGTTTACAAAAGATATCTAAAATATTGTGAAAACATTGACACTGTATTTAGTAAGAGAAAGAGAAAATTCTTGTCGTTAATCAGAACCTACAAGTTCCCTCTAACCAGGGTAAACAGGTTAATTTCGTACAGTGACATGAACTCCAAGGAGATTTAAGAGCAACATGTTTATCTAAGGGAAAGATGACAACCGCTTGAATGTAGTGATTAAAATGTGGACTCCAAGATTACTTAAAGCGCATGTGAACATACACAAAACCCTTTAGATTATTTTTTAATAGCGGGTATCAAGGAGAAATAATTATTTTTGTCATATTATGACTGTTATACCACTAGAAAGAAAAGATTGAGAATACTACAGGCTAAAACTAAAGGATTTTTTCTCCCTCTATTACATTTTACAGACCCAATTTATTTGAGTATATTATTGTGGTTGTGAAAATCAGGTTATATACTTTAGATAGGATTTTACAATGGTACCAAGTTATTTAATTTGAATGAAGACTTTAGAAACAGGATTTCTTTTTGAATGTGAATATAAACCCCTGGTAATCACATTAAAGATTTTTTTGAAAATATTTTGATATTAATAACTAATTTGGTTTATTGTCTTTAATCCAGAAATTAATACGTGAATAATGGTCAAAATATTTACACTCTCCCAAATTTTTGAGTGAAGGAAAACACAAAAGTTTACTTAAAGTTAATATTGCAAAGGCCACCTGGGTGGATCAGTCAGGTAAACTTCTGACTCTTGGTTTTGGCTCAGGGCATCATCTCAGGGTTCATGGGTTCAAACCCTGCATAGGGCTCTGTACTGACAGTTCAGAACCTGATTGGGATTCTCTCTCTCTCCTTCTCTTTCTGCCCCTCCCCCACTTTCTCTCTTAAATTAAATTAAAATACAGTAACTTTCCAGAGATGAATAAAACCTATGATTTAATAGAAAGAGCCTGGGGCGCCTGGGTGGCTCAGTCGGTTAAGCGTCCGACTTCAACTCAGGTCACGATTTCGCAGTCTGTGAGTTCGAGCCCCACGTCGGGCCCTGGGCTGATGGCTCAGAGCCTGGAACCTGCTTCGGATTCTGTGTCTCCCTCTCTCTCTGACCCTCCCCCGTTAATGCTCTGTCTCTCTCTGTCTCAAAAATAAGTAAACGTTAAAAAAAAATTTAATAGAAAGAGCCTGATTCTGAGAAGTATTTGTCTCACTTCTGGCCAAACCGGGTGCATAATCCTAAACAAGGGTCTCTGTTTTTTTACTGCTTAATCTGCAAAATACATTTTTTTTTTTTTGGCCAATGATTTGTAAGGTCTTCTATAGCTTTAACATTATAAAGAAAATCAAAGTAAAATTACCTTTTAATGTACTACACCATTTTATTTTACAATGTCTATTTCACCTAGACATTGTACTATTGGCAATACTAACTGACATGCTGAAATAAGTAATCTCAATAGTAATATATTTGCCTGGATTGCCAGAGTATATTGATATTAATGTGTATTTTATCATTTTGTTTTTCTTTAAAACTACAGCTTCAAATACTACTAGATTAACAAGAAATGCCTAAGTTATTGGTTATCTTCTCCCATCTGATCCCAAGAAGCCAGGCAAGCAGCTCATTAGATGAGTCTCTTCAGAAAAAACATGACAAGGGTAAGGGACATATTGAAAGGGACATAGAAATTCCTTGGATCTTCACCCACCCTACTACCTCTCTCATATCAACATGACTTAAAAGTAGTATTTGAACAAAGGAATATTTCTCTTCTATATACAATGTTTGGTTTTTACAGAATGTAAGGGGAAAAGACCCTAAAAGATGCCTTAACTTACATCTACCA